CTTCTTTCTTTCTAAGTCAATGAGGGCTCTTCCTCAGCTTGTGCCCCCTGAGCCCTGTCACTCCCCAGGGCTCTCTTCCTCCCCCCTGAGGTTTTCATATTCTCCTTAATGTCATCTATTTTCTCTAGCTCTATGCTGATGACTCCCAAATTCTGACCTTTCTCCTGAACTGCCTACGGGGCAGATCCAGCAAGATGACACACAGGAGCATCATATTCCAACTGTCCAAAAGTAAGTTCTTGTCTTTTCTGCTAAGCCTGTTCTCAATCCTCTTTTCCTCTCCCCATATTATGGCCAGGACCTAGAGTAATGCTAGACCCTTTGTCCCCACCACATTCTGTGCCCTCAGTCACCAGGATCCACTTGACTACTTCCTTCTTCTCTAATATCCAGTGCATGTCATCTTTCCATGCCTACTGCCCTTGTCCTGCTTCAGGGCTTCCTATCCTGTTACATATCACTGTGGCCTCCTGATAGGCACTGTTCTTCAAGTCTTGCCCCCTTCAAATTCATCCTCTCAAAGAGGCTGCATAAAACCTGATCTGACCACCATGAAAACTCTTCAATACAGCACTATGTAAAAGATGATGGAACCCTGGGGTAACCTCTAGGAAAGGAGGGAAGCCTGCCCAACCTAGCCTGCACTGGCCTGCACAACCCTGCACAACCCCGCCTTTACCTACCTCTCCAACCATTTTGCTAGGACAAATTTTAATAGTTTTCTTAAAGAAAAACTAATATATAATAAGCAATTCTTATTTAAAATACACTGATAAGTTTTTGCATGTACATCTTGGAAACTATCATCACTATCATATTAGAGAAAATATCTATCACTCTCCAAAGTATACTCATATGCCTTTGTAATCTCTCCCACCCAGGCCTTTCCAACCTCATCTTCCCAAGAAAACAGTTATCTGCTAGCTGCCACTATAGATTTAGTTTGCCCTTTATAGAATTTTAAAATAAAAGATTTGTCTAATATTTATTATTTTTATCTTAATTCTTTAAGTCAACATAATTGTTTTGCTATGCATTCATATTGCATTTATCAATAGTTAATCCCTTTTATATGATCTGGATAGAAATTCTTCATAAGATATAAAATTCTACAAATCTTTTTGTTCTCTCAACAGGAAAATTCATAAACACAGACATTTTTAATTTTTATAAAGGCTAATTTATCATGCTTTTGGTATTTCCCCTGCCAAAAAAAAAAAAAAAAACTTTGTATAACCCAAGATCATAGCTATTTATATTTTGTAGAAGTTTTGTAGCTTCAGATATTACATGTAGGCTTATGATCCATTTTGAGTTAATTTTATGTGGTTAGACTATAGATCAAATTCCCCCCTTTTTGGCATGTGCATATCCAATATATCCACTTGTTTCAGTACCACTTATTCAAAGACTAGCTTTCTCTACAGAACCTCCTTTCCACGTTTGTTTTAAAAAATCAATTGCTTATTTCTGTACTTTATTATATTCCATTGTCTATCTTAATGCCAATACCAAAGCTGATTACTGTGACTTTATAGTAACCCTTGAAATGAGGTGACTTGATCTTTGTGAATTTCAGAATCAACTTACCATTTCCTACTGGGATCCTCATCTATAGGAATTTTGTTTGGGATCGCATTAAATCTCTAGATAAATTTGGGGATTATTAATATTTTAACAATACTGAGTCTTCCAACCCTTAAATAGGGTATAGCTCTCCATTATTCGATTTTTCACTTTCTTTCAGCAGTGATTTCTAATTTCTAATTGGCAATGAAATCTTTCCAGGACTTAGCTGTCTGCTCTACTCAGGGAGACCATTGGAGTCTGCATGGGTTTTCCACCTCTGCACCTAGGCCTGGATGTCTCAAAGTAATAATTAAGTAGTAATCTTATAACTTCTCATTTTTCTTTGTCTCTCAAGGACCACAGTACATTCACGAATGTCCAGTTTCTTTAAAAACTATTTTGTGGGCTGGGGATGTGGCTCAAGCGGTAGTGTGCTCGCCTGGCTTGCGCGGGGCACTGGGTTCGAAACTCAGCACCACATACAAATAAAATAATAAATATTTAAAAATTCTCTCTCTCTCTCTCTTTAAAAAAAAAAACGATTTTGTAGCTTCTCAGTTGTTTCAGGCTAAGTCCAGCTGCTGCTACCCTCCCTCACAGAAATGGCAGTCTCCACTGGGCTGGTTTTGTCCCCACGACATACCAATCTGCCTCTGCTTTCAGACTTTGCCCACGCTACTTCCTCCACAGGTCATGCCTTTTCTCCTTATCACCTGGCTAAATCCTGTGTCCCTCCCCAAACCCAAAATGTTAGCTTCTCTAAGACCATCCCCCTGCACCCCATGGCTGGCTGATGTGCCCTCTCCTCTTTGACCCTATATTGTTGTGTGATTGTGGCTTATTTCCTCCTTTTTACCACTTTATATTGTTTTTCTGTTTCTATAATCACCTCATCACATATAAACCCTCAAAGAGAGGGGCCAGGGCTCATTCTCTTTCTGTCCTTGGGGCCTGATGAAGACTTTGGCACATAGTGGGTACTCCATAAGTATTAGTTGACCTACATCTTTGGGACATACATATGACTAATGGCAGGAAAAGTTTGCCTCCTTCCCTCATGAATGACAGACTCTAGGAGGGCAGGAGTGTTCTAAAAACAACAGTCAATTCCAGTAATTCAACTCCATTTTGCACAGTGGAGTAAGTCGCTTCTAGATGCTGGTCCAAGAGCCTTTTCAAAAATGGAAAGTTAATGGCAAATTGTTCTCTAGACACTACCAAAAAAGTAAGAGTGCTTCTACTTCTCTTTCTCCATAGTGCTAAGTGGTTTACTAACTTCATCAGTTTTGCCTGTCTAATGTGAGGATATAGTGTTTTACTTCCAAAATTAGATGTCATTGCTTATTAGTGAGGTTGAGGAGTTTTAAATAAATCAAGCATTTATTAGACATTTATTTTTAAACTATGCCATAATTCCTATCTACAATTTCAGTTGTGTGCCTATTTATAACTGTCTTGGCGCATCTATGCCCTGCTCTGGACTGTGCAGGCTGACTTGTAAGGGCTACACCATTCAAGCTCAGATTCTGGAGGGAAGTCCCCTCACTCAGGATGCTAGTTTTCCCTAGGCTCTGGTAAACCGTTCCTTCTCCCTATGCCCCCAGACCTAGGGATGATAATGGCTTCTTGTTATTTTCTCATCCTCTCTGTTCTGGATACAACTGTAAATAGCCCTTTCACTAAATTCTTCTTCACTGAAATCCTTTGAGAGAGAAATTGTTTCTTGCTGGAAACTGACTGATACAATAACATTGGCCTGTTTTTGTATTGTAATTTCACATCATAGTTTATAAGTCTGTAGGAACTCTTTATATATATAATGTATTATGCATACAATATACACTACTCTTTGCTTAATATATATGTTGCAAATACTTTCTTCCAATTTATTGTTTGTCTTATGGTAGTCTTTGTATTTTTCCTAGATTTAAGTTCATGTCTGCAGCACTAAAGCTGAATTTTTTTAAATGCACTCTTACTCTCATATTTGATTAGAAAACTTCTTCATATATCATTCTTAATTCTTTTTCTGAGATCAGGTTTCGTGTCTCCAGAAGTTAACACAATTTTGATTATATCAGGCTAATTTAGCAGCCAAGTATCCCAGGCTTCTATTGAGATTTGTTTGGAATAATTCACAGGCTTTGGCTATTGTGACTCCTCTGGCTATTGTGACATAGGTAAGACATATCTAAGTTCTCTGGCAACCTGTGAGTTCTTGTCTTTCTGTTACCAATGCATCCCCAACTTCTAGCAACTGTGCCTAGTATGGAGTCATTGTACAATGAATGCATTTTGAATGAATGAGTGACAGAGCAGAGAAACGATGCTTCCTCTCTACTCCTGCTCCTCAATTCTGTACTATTCTGTAATGTACCCATAATACATCAACCTAGCTGATGTTGGGCCAATTTCTATTCCTTATGGAATAAAGCTTTTCCATTTCTTCTAATTCATAAAATGCCTATAAATAGGGCCCATGCTCCCTAAGACCTCCTAGAAACTTTGAGTCCAGAGGTGGGCAGGCCAATTTCACAGACAGATAATTTGTTTGTCCCATAACAAAAATTCTGATAGAGGACAAACTTGCATTTCTCCTTTTCTTCATCTTAAACATGCAAACTCATTTCCCCTTTGCAGGGGTAGAGTTCAGAATCAGGACAGGTGATCAAAGATAGGGAGAAGGAATGCCATCGTTTGGAAAAGGGTTATAATAAATATTTAGTTGATTTTTAGTGTGGACAGGCTATGATGAGGGGCAAGAGAGAGAGACTAATGGAAGAGGTAGGGAAAGGACACTGGAACTGGACTGGAGTTTGGATACCTGTGTGAGGCACCCAGGTATCCGTAAGCAGGGGCTGTCTGTCATGTGAGTAGAGCCATTCATTCATCAAGCACTGTTCTAATCATGCAGGATACATCAGTGAACAAAACTTTGATTTAAATTTTAGCCATCAACCTTTCTGTGCCCTGAAACTTTCCCCATTCACTCTTTAGAAATTAAGTATAAGGGAACATGATGTTATCAGCTAAAGTCCTCTAATAACCATTCTTCTACCTGTAGGGTTAACCCTTCATACACCCCTATGATATTTATAAACCCTGAAGAGACCTCTCTGGAGCCCTAGCAGAGTGAGAAAGGGAGGAGGCCCAGGAGTTCTCGTAGGATACTCCAAGCTGAGGAAGAAGGGGTGTGGACAACCCTGGAACAAGTTCCTTTATTTTTACCAAACAATTCAAAATCAAATATGGCTTACTTCAGTGGAGTCTTCCATTGCTTGTCTCTTCCAGAGCACAGGCTACATGTCAAATATTTACCTAGTTATTTCCTCTTGTTGTTCACATTGACCACATTGAATCAAAATTCCAAAACATTCTTCCAGGGTGGTTAGGACAGGTTAATGATTGCCTTCTTACAAAATTACTGACAGGTCGGCCCTCCTCAGAAGCCACTTGGACTGAACCCTCCACTGAATGTCCAGCTGTCCTGTGGACCCCCCTGGATGCCAACCTTGTAACTGGTTTGTGTTCAAAGGGCTCAGTGCCCTCTCCCGGCCCTAAATTCTAAAATCTCCCTTAGGTTTTTTTTTTTTTATTGTTTTGTTTTGTTGTTTTAATTTCTAGACACATTTTTCCTTGGGAGGCTGAACTTCCCTCTCACCAGGAGAACTAGGATATTTGAGATAATACATCTACTGTTCTCTGCCCCCAGAGAAACTTGGGAGGGGGTTTCAGCATGAAAGCCTTTTGTGCTTTGGGGGAATTTCCTTCTGTGCAACAGGTTTTTGTTTTAAACATTAACCAGGCGGCTGGGCATTCTTGGTCTTGGGGCAAGGCTAAAGTGGGGAAACAGGTGGAAGGGAATGTGGCTTTCTGTCCACCCGGGAGGCCAGACAATTTGCACTCACCATTGTCCTGACATCTTTATGAGGACCACACTCCCACTGCTCCTTCAAATGATTCCCAGGAGGATTGGGGGGTCTACCTCCAATTTTGCCTTGGGGGAAAAAAATCAAGGAGAAAAAAGTTTTCTTTGCCTAGAATATTGCAAAAATAGTAGTTCCCAGCCCATAGGAGAAAGGTGGTGGGGGGAGGGGGAGATGGGGGTGGTAACTCAAGAGGCAACTGGAAGGAAGAAGGACAGGGTTTCACCAGTTGTTGCTCACAAAGAACTAAGGTTTTTATATGTAACCTGAGTTCCCACAGGGCCCCCACATACACTGGAATGTGGCAGCAAATGTGGTGTCATTAACCCAAGTGTCACTAGCACTTGCTGTTATCTACATGCTCAGCAGAACTTTAGCTTCCTACGGTGCCTCCTAAATACATTAAAATTTCTGAGACTCCTCAGGAAGGTTTTTAGATAGTCAGAGATACACACCAGCTGCCAACCGGCCTCTGCTAGGTCCTACTGACCACTCCTTGGGTCCAGCTACAGTAATAATGGGTACCATCGTACTCTCTGTACAACATAACTGATATTCTCCTGACCTCATCATTCTATAGATTGAATCCATTTTACCTACATTCAATATTAATAAGATACATACATAGAAATGGGACCTATTTATTCTTATATGGTAAGACTCTTAGATGTTATTAGTGATGAATTTCACCATTTTTGCATGAACACCTTTAAATCTACAGAATTGGTGATTCTCAAATGTTGTAGGCTCAAAGCATGACAAAATTTTTCTTTTCTTAGCTCAGTACAATAATGATTAAGTCTTAAATTGGAAGGAAGTCAACTGGGAGTTTCAGGAAAAGAGTCCCTTGGTTCTTTAAACTTCTCTGTCCCCACCTAACTCCAAGCAAATATTTTTCAGTTGGTTAAACTAGGGATCTTAAAACTGGAGTACACAGGGGCCTTCTGCAAGTTACAAGGACATAAAAAGTTCTAGAAGAACCACTCTCCAGGTCCTTGGTGCCCATATATACTCACTGCAGAAACTCATCCCTCGCCAGCTTGATCTAGTGCTTTTTCTGTTTCTGCCCTGGCTCTATTTCTTCCACTTTATAAGAAGAAATTTATGACTTTGATTCTTCCTGAGGTACATTTTCCTGAGTTTAAAAAAAAAAAAAAAAAAACCTCTGGGTTGCAAACAAAGCAGCAGTTTAAAAAAATTGCAAAACATGCTTCATTCAAGACTCAAAGTACAATCAAGTTGGCTGTCTCTTTTTTAATATATGTCTGTACTAAATCTGGCATTAGACATGAAACTTTAGGCCAGCATCAGGATGTTCAGAATTTAGGCTTACAGAAGAAAAAAAAAATAGCAGGAGTGATATCATTTTTTTTTTTTTTTGAGTTGAGGGTTACTAGAGATTGAACTCAGGGGCACTTAATCACTGAGCCACATCCCCAATTCTATTTTGTATTTTATTTAGAGACAGGGTCTCACTGAGTTGCTTAGCACCTTGCCTTGCTGTATCCAGCTTTGATCTCAGGATCCTCCTGCCTCGGCATCCTGAGTGGCTAATATTACAGGCCTGAGCCACGGCACCTGGCTCAATTTTAATTTAATTACTCTACCTCTTTAATCTCCTATTACTGAAGAATGTATTACTCCTAAACAGAGTCACATGAGACTAGCTACAAACAATAGTATGACATCCTTAATTTCCAACACCTAGATTTGAAAAATAAAACTTTTACATTTTTTTAATGAAAACAGAGGGTATTGTCAAAAATGTAAATAACATTTTCAGGTGCTTATCAGAGTTTGAAAAATCTACTACAAATTAGTAATGTTCATTGCAAAAGATAAAAAATTATGATTGTAGAAAAGCTTATCATATATGTAGATACAGATATGTACATTGTTGATGGTTACAATGATACTAGATGCCAAAAAACATCATTTGTTAACTTGACAGTTTGTTTATTAATTCATCCAACAAATATGCAGAATTACAAAATCCCAGGCACCGTTCACAGTTGTTAGAATGAATTAACAGCAAAGCAAATACTTGTTCCCTTATGGAGTTTATAATCTAGCAAGGAAAATTAAGGGACTTAATAAGTTATAATGAATAAAAAATTACCTGAAAAAAAATAGTAGCTTAAAGAACACATTTGTAACAGGTGTAGTAGCACACACTTGTAATCCCAGCAACTCAGGAGACTGAGGCAGGAGGATCACAAGTTTGAGGCCAGCCTCAACAATTTTGTGAGGCCCTGAGCAACTTGTCAAGACCCTGTTTCAAAATAAAAAATAGAAAGGGCTGGGGATGTGGCTCAGTGGTAGAGCACCCCTAGGTTCAATCCCCAGTACAAGGAAAAAAAAAAAAGAAGAAGAAGAAGAACATATTCATTTATCTCCTAGTTTCTGTGGGATAGGAATCTAAGCATGACTTAATGCCCTGCCTTACACTCTTTCATAAGTTTGCAATCCAAGAGGCTTCCATGGGTTTGTGGTCTCATCTGAAAGCTGCACTGGGGAAGGGTCCACTCTAAGCTCATTCAGCAGCTTTAGGCAGCTGGCAGTTCTTTGAAAGTCGTCTGAGAGCCTCGTTTACCATCAGGCTGCTGGCCAGAGCCCCTCGGTTCCTTTGCACGTGAATTTCTCCCATGTGGAATCTTGCTCCGTCAGTGTGTGCAAACTGAGAGGGCGATATAGAGATCTGCTGGGGAGATGAAAGTCAAAATCTTACCTAACCTCATTACAGAAGTGGCGTCCCCTCCACTTGGTCACATTCTATTAGTTAGAAACAAGTTTTGATTTGCATTTCTCTGACTGCTAGCGATGGTGAGCATTTTTTCATGTACTTGTTGATTGATTGTATGTCCTCCTCTGAGAAGTGTCTGTTCAAGTCCTTGGCCCATTTGTTGATGG